CAGGACAGAGAGTACCTGTCCCACCCCCACCCTCAGCCTGGCTTTCCCCCAGCCTCCTAGTCTCCCTCCTTGAAAGGCATTCTGTCCTGGGTCCAGGTCTGGTTTCTCTCTAGGTCTGGGTCTGAGAAAAGCCACAGGGCAGTGGGCCCCCTGGCAGGCCCGGCACACACTCCCCAGGGCAACTTTCCACGGACTGGCTCCTTCTCACTGGGGACAAAGCCAAGGCCAGGGCAGCAGCCTCCCAAAGGAATGAAGAGGCTGGACTCTGGGGAGGGAAAAGGGGCAAGGACTGCACGTGTGGGGACCCTAGTGCGATGTCCCAGGCTTCCCAAGTTCCCAGTGCACTGAAACAAAGAATGGAGGAGCATCTGATTTAAAGACAGAGCTAGGGTTCCAGTCTAGGCTCTGCTACTCACCTTTGGGTGGCCGTGATCCTGAGGCCTCAGCTTCCCCCATTATTAAACAAGGAGGTGGCTAGATAACTTCTGAAGTCCCTTCCATCTAGGACAGTCTAAGTTTTATGACTGTCCCCAGCTGGGCCCAGACAGTCTGCCTGCTGACCTCCCAGTGCAATCCTCCACTCTGGCCTGGCAGACTTCCCACAGCCTTGCTTTGTTCTTTCCTACCCTCTCGTGCTCAGCCTATCCAACGAGACTTTACTCATTTGCCTCAGAATCCCACAAAAACCTCACCTCTTCTAGGACGTCTAGCTTGATTACATGAGCATTATCTCAAAGCACCACTCCTTTCATACAGACAAGCTCTACTCTAACATACAATCAGTTTCCACTATTTGTACTGGCCTAGAGGAAGAAGAAACTATCTTCTCTCTATTTTGGAGGCAGATTGGCCTTCCTGATAATAAATGGTTCAGACACAAGGCAAAGGCCGTTGATGTGTTCTGAGCATACTGCTGATGGTGGTAGGATGACCAGTCAGCCCATGAACATCTCATCAGCTGACCACAGACATGTTATTAGCTCAGCTGAGGTTTGCTGAGCCTTGCCCAGCTAAGTAGAATTTCCTAGCAGATCCAAAGATGCCCAATGAATAATAAATGGGTATTTTCTTAAGAGTCACTAAGTCTTGGGATGATCTGTTATGCAGCAAAAGCTAATGATGCAAATATAAAGCACATGCCCAGAAAGGACCCAAGCAGATGGAGCACATGCTGGGTTTTGTCATTACTGTAGGAACAATGCTCCACCATGGCAGTAGCTTTGCCATATTGCTACAGAGCTCAGAGACTTGAACGTGATGGGCTCGGTACAGGGAAATGATTGATCCAGGACAGCAAGCCCCTGGCAAGGTGGCCAGGCACCTGAGCCAGAGCAGTGCAGCCATCTTCAGGACGTGGCACAACCTGTCTGCAGAGTCCAGGTGCAGACAGGTGCTCTTCGTCAATGCTAACACCAACCCTAGGGGCTGGCGTTCTGTCCCTGTCAACCCAGGGTTGGCATGGAATTTTAAGAGTTAGAACATTTTAAAGGTAGAAGAACATTTCTGGATCACATTCATATAACAAATAGTTACCAAATGCTGACTACGGGCAGATGCTGTTCTAGGCACTGGGAACACGGCAGTGCCTTCATGGAGCTTACCTTCCCATGTCCCCTAGAAAGACCTTGAAAGGGAGGAAGAAGGAATGGGGAGAGTTAACGTCCCTGCAGTGGTTTTAAATGTCTACAGAGTCTCTGATACTCCTTTCTCCAAGAGGTGGAACTTAATTCCCCTCCGCTGGAGTATGGGTTGTACTTAGCGACTCGCTTCTTGCAAAGGGAGCGTAGCAGGAGTAATGGTGTGTGACTTCCAAGGATAGGTCATTCGAGACATTGCAAGATCCAACTAGTTCTCTCTCTTGGACCACCAACTCTGGGGAAGCCAGCTGCCATGTCGTGAAGATACTCAAGCAGCACTAGGGAGAGGTCCACACAGCCAGGAGCTGAGGCCTCCTGCCAACAGCCCTGTGGGTGAGCCATCATAGATGTGGACCCTGCAGCCTCAGTCGAGCCTTCAGAGACAGCAGCCTCTGCTGACATCTTCACTGAAACCTCACGTAAAACCCTGAGCCCAAACTCATCTAGCTAAGCAGCTTCAAATTCCTGACCCGTACAAACTATGAGAGTATAATTGTTTGTTGTCTGAAGCTGCTACGTATGGGGGTAATTTGTTACTCTGCAGTAGATAATGAATACATTCCCTCTATCCTGCTGCTTTTCCAATTTTAATCCATCTTCCCTCCTTCAAAGTCTTCATATACCAAGTAATGGGGGAACAAAAACCAGGATGTAATAAGACAGAGGACTCTGGGGAACTGAGCTCAGAGGAGAAGGCTCTCAATGAACCTCTGTTGTATTGAAGTGGAAGAAACAGAAACAGCAGCACCAAGCCTGCACTTTCTTTACCTTGAAGCCCAACCCCACGTTACTTTGTGATTCCTCTGGCTTCCCAGTCCCAGGTAGGGACTTTGCTGGGAGGTAGGAATTTGGGGGGTGGGGGTTAAAGGAGGTTGGCAGGTCATGCAGACTCACTTGAGCAGGATCTCATACTGGCCGGCATGCCAGGGCTGCACGTTCTTTAGAACCAGGGTGAACACGTCCTCATTCTGTAGCACCTCAAAGTGGCCAGTGTCTCTGGAGAGGGCTTTGCCGTCCCGGAGCCAGTGCACAGTGGGGAAGGGGTCCCCAGCTATGGCACAGGAGATGAGGACACTCTGGCCCAGGCAGGCTGTCACTGAGCGGGGCTTGCTGATGAACCAGGGCTGGGTGCCATCCTGAGGCTCTGAAGTTAGCAAAGGATTGAGTTAGAGAGGGAGGCCTTTCAGCAGAGAGCATTCACTCAACTCTCCATGGCAGTGAAGGTGGGAAGACAGAGTGTTACCCAAAGAACAGCTTGTCCAGAAATCACTTTTACTGAACATACAGGCAGAGCACATGCTTCTCATGGCAAATCTGTCTTGGTTACTTCTCACAGGATAATATTAACATGAATTTGTATATCCAAAGCATGGGGAGGTTGTCCAGAAGGTACAGGGGCACTGGGATAGGTGCCAATGATCTGCATGACATGTGTGTGATTAAGAGGTGTCACTTGCTTCATGCGAGCTTAATTTGTCTCTCCTCTTAAATATGGGTTCTCTAAAGGCTAGGACCATCATAGGCCGTAACTCATCTGTCACTGCCAAAGTGTTAGTGTGTTAGGAGATATCTCTCCCAGCACTCTCCGAAGCTTGACACCAGTACCCCAGAGAGGGCAGGAGCTTCAGAAGCCTACCTTCTGAAAGGTAGGGGAAGGGTGGCCCCACTCAGCCAGAGCCTCAGATGTAGGATGGGGAGCTGCCACTGGGGCTGGGATGGGACCAAGGGAGCATGGGGTCCGTGGTGGGGACAAAGTAGACTCACATGGTTTCCTCGCCTCCAAATCACCTTTGGAGAGACCATGGCAGCAAAGCCTCCCTGCCCCTGCCCCTGCCCGCCACTGGTCAGAGGGTCAGCCTCACCTTGCACTGTGAGCATGGCCTGGGTGCGGACCTCTCCTGCGCTGTTCCAGGCTTCACAAGTGTAAGTGCCCGTGTCCTCCGGGAACACTTCCTGGATGCAAAGGCTGTGCTGAGTGCCTCTCTGTTCAAAGTGGAAGTCCTCTGACTCCTGGATCTCATTCCCGTTGTGAAGCCAGATGACCTCAGGGGGCGGGTTCCCTGAACGGGGAGGAGGGGCAGCGGGGCTCGTCAGGGAGGTGCTTCCCTGGGCTGTGCAGCAACTCTGCTTAATACCACGACGTTGTATTGCATAAGTTTCCCCATCCGTAACATATTCTAACCCTATCTATCTCAAAGGTTTACTGGGAGGATTAAATAAATTAATACCTTAGCAGCCCACTAGAAACGCTGATTAGAATAGCATCTGGCACAAAGAAAGTACTCAGTGCATGTTCACTGTAATTACTTAACAACAGATTTGGGGAAACCAGAAAGAATCCAGAAGTGAAAAATATTACTTCAGAGATAAAAGAGGAAACCTAGAAGAATGGTTTTTAAAATTAGAATTCAAACTGCTTGATAATGCTGAGTGGTAGCTGGATCAGTGGGTTCCGGCACTGTTTCCTGCTGTGCACACCTCACACCTTGTGTGCGTGCCCAGGCAACGCCATGGGGACTTCACAGAAACTCCCTTGTCAGTTTTCACCAAGGGAAGCCCTTAGCGCTTCATTTTGCTACCATACAAATGCTGTCCAAGGGTGAAGATGGGTACCAGGCTTTCCAAACCCAGCTCGGTGGATAGCATTTTCACTTTTACTAGCCTACTTCCCTAGCCATTTGTTGGGGCATAAAACAATGGCCACCTGTGAGGGTTTCCTCTGCGGAAAGAGCTGAGCCATTGCACTCTGCTTCCAGGGGAGCAAGCCCCCGGGAACGGCTGCTGAGGGAGGCTGCGTGGTATCAAGCTCTTTCAAGGACAGAGGAGACCACCATCTGTCTCTGATGGGGTAGCCAGCATGTGTCTGGAGGCCAGGTGCAGGGTGCCTCTGATTTCTATCAGCTCGAGGAGTATGTGCAGGGGAGGGGACCCAGCCTCTGCCTGTCTTGTCCCGGGACTGCCTTCAGCCTTCGGGAGCAGGGAGTTCATCCTAGGATCCCTAAAAGGGTGAGCCCATGGGTTCTCTCCCAACTCCTCTTTATCGCTTCTGCAACTCAAAAGGAACTGAAAACCCAGCAAGGACCTCCAGGCTGTCGCAGGACTGATCAGAGGCCAGCATGAGCCTCTGCGTCAGTAAGTCTGTGCTAGGATATTCCACAGGCTTCGCTTGCTGGCTTCTAGCAAAAACAGTAAAATCTCTCACTGGGCTGTTCATCCCACCCTCGTGTCACCCCACCCATTTGAGAAGGACCCCATCCTATCTTCTCACCTTAACATTTGAATAGAGCAACTGAGACTTATCTTCCAAGGGTTAGAAAGTTCTCAGATCATCTGGTTTTGGACCTGTGTTCACAATCTTCCAGCTACATTGGCCATACTATGTTCTCGGTTAATCCCTCACCTCTCTAGCATGGCCAGCTTCTTCCCTGGACCACTTAACCTCGAATCCAGAAAATCCAGCCCAGAGAAAGCAGAAGAGAGGGGCCAAGAGGCTCCACTTCTTTGGGTCCACTGAGTGACAGTCCCAGGCTGCCTTTCTGGTAGACAGTGATCTGAGCGGGATGTCGGGAAGCAAAGCCCATGTTGCAACCATGCCCATTTTCACGTATACCCCGGGGACAGAGATGCGGGGACAGACCTGACACCTGGACTGTCATGGTGACCTGGCTCCCGTCCATGACTCTGAGATCAGAGAGGCCTTGCAGGAAGAGGGGCGCGACGGGCTTGCTGGAGGCCGTGGGCAGGAGGTACTCACTCTTCTCGTCACTCTTCTTTTCTACGTGGCAAAAGAGTGTGGGGTGAACAGTCACTCATTCATTCCGCAGACACAGACGAAATGAGCACTCAGTACATGAATGTGTTGGGGCTCAGGTTCCCACCAGAAACTGACCGCTGTCAGATAAGGAGCTCGGGAGGCCCTGGAGATCCCTAGGAACAAGGCGTGCCCATTTCCCTGTGTGGTACGACAGTGCTGTTGCCTCACAGCAGGAAAGGATGAGGGCTCTGTAGGGCCATGTCCAACCTAGGCTCTGGCTCCCCAGGAGCACTTCCAGGGGATGGAGGCTGGAAGTGGGGGAGCCAATACTTGGCATCTTATGAGACTTTTTTCCCCCTTAAATTGTATTTACTCTTTTGAATAAGTGATACATTCATATAGCATAAAACTCAAAAGGTACAAAGGGTATGTGTACAGTCTCCCGTCTACCCCTGTCCTCTGGCCAAATGTCTCTCCCCAGAGGCAACCGATTTTCAGTTCCTTGTTCACCTTGCCAAAGATGGTCCATGTGTATAACACACAATGGCATATAGGTATACTCTTTAATTTTTCTTCTCTTAAAAAAAAAATGATAGCACACCATACACAGTGACTGGCATCTTGCTTTTTCATCTAACAATACAGTTATCCTTCAGTATCTGCAGGGTACTGGTACCAGGACCCCTTGCAGTACCAAAATCTGCAGATGCTCCAGTACCTTATATAAAATGCATATAACCTAAAATCCTCCTGTATACTTTAAATCATCTCTAGATTACTTATAATACCTAATACAACGTAAATGCTACGTAAATAGCTGCCAGTGCGGCAAATTCAAGTTCCCCTTTTTGAAACTTTCTGGAATTTTTTTTCTCAAATATTTTTGATATGCTGTTAGTTGAATCCACAGATGCACAGCCCATGGATACAGAGGGCCGACTGTATATCTTGATGTTCCTCATAAAACAGAACTGGAGGGCTTCCTCATTGTTTTCTACGACTGCGTGATGCTCCTTTACCATCTCCTGAGATTTTAAGCACCTCAGGAAAGTCAAAGATGCTACATAATTAGAATGACTAAAATTAGAGACTGATCAACCTAAGTACTGGGTCTGGCAAGGATGTGGAGCAACTAGAACCCTCCTACACTGCTGGTGCGAGTGTAAAATAGTACAGAGCCTTTTAAAAACAGTTTGGCGGGCTTCCCTGGTGGCGCAGTGGTTGAGAGTCTGCCTG